TTGATGGGCCAGTGCTAATCATTGTGATCATCTTCTTGCCGGTTAAATTGGGTGGCCAAGCTAAGTGGGTATTCCCCCTTCATTCATTTTTTTACAGAAAATCCAGTCTGGTTTCATGGATCATTTGGATCAGTTCAGTGAGGCCCTTGGCATAATTCAGTGTTTTCTCAACTCCGCTGCTGGAAAAGGGGGGGGGGGTATATAGCATATTTAATCACTGCTTTGGTTGTTGGACATTATTCTGTTTCCTCTGAGCATAGAATAAAATCTATGGAAAACAAAGCCCTGTTTGAAGCTTAAAATGCATTCCTTGCGTTAGGGAGAGGAGGAAGCCAAAGATTTACCTTGTCGGCCTTTGAATTGCATAACACTCTGCCCTCCTATTTTTCCCCACAACAACAACAACCCTGTAAGGTAGATGGGGCTGAGTGATTGACTCAAAGACCCCCAAGGACCTTCCCATTATAGTTATTGTAGGAGAAGAGCCATGTTCATCTATGGCAGCAAAAAACTGGAGCCCCTTTTCTGACTAAGCTTCTGCCTTTTAATAAAATTTGCGAGCCAGAAAGTAGCTACCAGGCTTCCGGGAGTGGTCTTGACCCTAGATTTTCCTGTTCCAGCATCTTGTACAGTACAGGCAGGATGGCTTGTGTACGCACTTAAGTAAGATTGTTGGGCTTTGTTGTGGCTTACGCAAGTCCCTGGCAATTGGTGAGATCTTCTGCAGCAATCTTTCCCGTGTCTCGTTTTGCACCTGGAGAGGTGAGCCTGTTATCTGAACTTGTTAACCAATACCCGGGAAGAAAGTTTACGCTCTTCTGTTTACAGCCTGTCCTTGACCTGCTTTGATGTACCTCTGGATCAGTTCCCGAAGAGCTGCTGATGGGCTCTTGGCGCCTTGAGGCTGCGATCTTTAGATCATGGTCTGTGTTAAGAAGGTATTGTTAGGATGGGGTTCTGCAGGGAGCCTGAATGCCAGGTTGTGTTTTCTGAATTTCAGAACGCTGAATCCAAGAACGCAATTTAATTTTTTTTATCCTAAAACTGAAGACTTACCTCTCCAAGACTGAACACTCAGTGGGTAAAGCATAAGGGATCTTCTCAAGCTGGGGGGTGTCTTTTCTTGAACTAGCACCTCCATGATCTGGTTCAGTCCATTCACATATCACGTATCTAGGCTTACGGCTAAGCAGGGAACATCTCCACCAATTCAGCATCTTCAGTCAAAGTTGTTCTCCCTGTTTGCTTAGCAGGCTGTCCGAATGATGGTTTAGTCTCATCTAAACATCCAGCTGATGTTTCAGGAATGATATGACTGTGCCCGGTGTCAGAATAGCTGGTCTGAAGAGAAGCCAGTTGCAAAGTTAGATCAGTTTTCTGCATGGCTTGTTTCAAACGTGTTACTTTTATTTATTTATTAGATTTCTTTCCCGCCTTTATTTTGTACAACTCATAATGCTCCCTCCTCCTATTCTCCTACAACAACAACCTTGTGAGGTGGGTTGGGCGGAGAGAGGATGACTTGGCCCAAAGTCCCCCCTGTGCCTAAGAGCAGTCTAGATCTCTCTGTTTTTGTCCAGCACCTTCACCCCTACACCAGGATCCCTGCCTTGGCCAGGGGGTTGGAATAGAAGACCTCCAAGGTCCCTTCCGTTCTATGATCCTTTCCTGAACGAAACTCATTTTGGTTAGCTCGAGCAAAAGCAAATAAACCCCCAGTGAGCTCCCCGCAGCGTGTAGACGTGGTTACATCGATCCAGGGTGTCACCAAAGCTTTTACAAAACAAGCTATCTGCTTCTTCCAATGCCACGTACGGTTTCCCCCAATCTTTTCCAAGCGGGTGCTTTCTCTAATGTTTTTCCCTCACCCTCTGGAGGTCCTGGACTGGCCCATTTGGCCAGGCAAACATCTGACAGAGCTGGCAGGATAATACTGAAAAAAGCGTGGAAGACAGTGATCCAGAAAATAGGTAGTTGGGCACCTGGCAGATGGCAACAAAAGCCAGAACGCTGTTTGGAATTTGGGTTGCCTCCTTATCCACAGCCATAGCCCTTCTGCCTGGAAGGTGATGAAAGAGAATTGAAATCTTAGCTTGAAAGGGGATGTGCTTCTAGGAACAAACCCCACCCTCTGGGCGAAAGAAGCCGCTGAGCAGAGCCAGCCAGGGCAGAGAATAGAAAGTGAAACTTAATTCCCCCCCCCCCAGCTATGCTAAAGAGGGGAAGCAGGTTCTCGGCCCTGAGGGCTGGAGTTCAACTGGCAAAGTTCTCCCTTCCCATCTCCCCCTGTGCCCCTGCAGCACACTTGCTCTTTGCGTGTGTGTGTGTGCGCGCTTCTCAGTCCCTTCCCTGCCGTTGAGATAGGGAGTTTCTGTTTCAACCTTTTGTTCTTCCCGTGCCGTTGATGCAATGCTCAGATCTCACCATGATGCAATGAAAAGAGGTAAGAACACCCCCTTTTGCTCCCCACTCCTCTGGGGAAAGACATCCAGCCCCCTTTTCTACTGAAGAGGAGATGCAAACAGACCCCGTTTGGATGGATGGCTGGAAAAACCGATCCCATCGTAAATATTAAAGACTTGACATGGGTAATTTCACTTTTACTTTTAAATGGAGGGAAAACTCTGACTCGAGGTGTCTCCTTTAAGAGAGCACAGTTGCACTCCTGTGTCCATTTACCCAGGAGTAAGTCTTGTACCATTTGAGCCTGAATTGTATTATGATATAACCTAGAATTTGTTCCTCGCCTAAGTAAGACTTACGGCAATATTTTGATGTCAAAAGGAGTATAGGGGCAAATGTTTTTGTCTGTGTGGTTTACTAAGACACAGTATGAAAGATACTGGAACTAGTTTGGTTCCCAAAGCAATTGAGAACCAAATGCCTTGGTTGTGTGTCTGAATGTGTCCGTTTTCAGGATCCTTATAACCGAACCACATTTTAAGTGGGCCGAATGAGAAATGTTCCATCGGTTTGCCGTGATTGAATCCTTGGGTCCAGAGTTTTCAGTCTCTTGCATCTACCTTTATAGCAGGTCTGTTCTTTAAAAGTGCAAAAGGCTTTCAGGATTTGGACAACATTTTCCAAGTTTGAAACTGCGTGTAAACGGATATCTTTGAGTATTTTACACTGCAGTTCAGTTGCCACGGGTCAGTTTCTTTGCAGGGATCCCTTTTAGTGGCTGACGGTTTAAGGGAGGGGAGCTGTATGATTGAGAATTGCACGAGAGGGATGTGGGAGAGCGTTAAGAATGATCTGATCCCCCTGAATAAGTAGGGATTTATTAGCTGATAGGAGCATTCCATCAAAACGTCCACCGATGTATTTGTAAAATAGTTTTTCTTTGCAGCGGTCTTATTTTACAGGGAGTGAGGAAAAGAGCCATGATCTCAGGCTGAGTTTATGACACCAGGCATGTTTTATTTGGTTGAGATTTAAGATGGTGTCCAATCCAGCCTGTGGCTTACGGATTAGCATTCTGGGTGAACCAACCTTTGCGGCTTAATCCACAAACTATGGTTAAATTAGCCCGGCTTAGGGCAGTATATCAGAGTCACAGATTAAAGAGTCCTTGTAATCATCTGTGTGAGAAGCAGGGTTGTTAGACTGGATCAACTTTCCTTTGGGGCTGGAATGGCCGTTTGGGCTATAGGTCAGCCTGTCCCGAAGGAATGGGCGGTGCCTTCCAGATGGGCAAACTTCAACTCCCAGCATTCCCAGTCAACATATTGAATGTACTGGAAGTTACAGCCGGTGCATCGGAATCGAGGCCCGTGTGGGGAAGCTGTTCCAGCCGTACGGATTCCCTCTGAGTCCAAAGCTATTGTTTATCTGTTCATCCCATCCCATCCCCAAATATTGCCAGAAGAAAGGGCTGATGGTAAAAGCTCAACAGCTAGGAAACGAGTCTCATGGACTAAAAGATTTTTTTTTTAAGCACAAATATTTGCCATGCGAGAAGTAACACTTCCCCTCGGCGTTTGTGTCCTGGGAAGCCCAAACCCAGCAAAATGTCCCTTTTTTTTTTTTTTTAATTGAAGAGCAAAACTAGCTGTGTTTGGGGAGGGGTTATTAGTCTCTGGTTCTTGCAGGTTTCCATAAAATAGTTTTTTAAAAAAGCAGGCACTAACCCAGCTTGGCACTAACCCGACCAGGGGTTCAATGTCATTTTCTGTTGCGGTCTGGAAGATTTTGAAGCAGATTGATTGATTGGTTATGTGCCATTGAGTCATTTCTGACTCCTTGTGACCACATTGATGGGTTTTCTGCATGACGGGGTGCACCAAGTCGGACCTGCGGAGCTCTGTTCCGCCGGTAACCCTGGTCTGGAACGTGCCTTCTTTTCTCTTTGCCAGACTCTTCTGCAGCAGCTCCTAGAAGAGCCAACCACAGCCGCTTCTCATCTAGGATAAATGTCTTCACCCCTGCTCCTGTACCCCATCAACATGCTATGAGCAAGCTGCCTGCTTGTGAAACAGGTTCAGACCAGACTCCCCCCGAACACAGCAGACTTGAGGATTTTCACCAGCAACAAATCCTCTTCCTGAAAGGACAGCTTCCCGAAGCTCCACTGTGGAAGCCTGATGTGCAGAGGTCCCAAAGTCCAGGAACATCCTTTCCACCCCTCCGTGCGAATTTATGGTACCACCACAGAGCTACGGCCAGAAGATCTGCCTGTAACAGTAGCTGGCAGCCACAGAAGCAGCCATTTCATCTTACGCCGAGCTACCCTGGAGGTTGTCAGAGGGGTGGAGTTGACAGGCTTGTCTCCAACTTTCAGGGGCTGGCTCTGAGCGCGCAAGGCGTGGAACAAAGGCTTCTGGAGATCTTGGGAGATCTGAAACCTGGGGAGACAGAATCGGCTTGCCGGCTTGCCCGCAAGCTGAACGTCAAAAAGAAAGTGGTCAACCAGTCTCTCTACAAGCTTCAACACCAAGGGCAGTTGCATAAATCAGAGACAACTCCGCCATTGTGGAGGTTAGCAGACCACCACAAGTTCTTGGAAACAAGAAGAGAGGGACGTTCGGCTGGCCAGGAGGACCAGAGGCACCTTTTAGATTTGGGGGTCAAAGAAGAAGAAAGTTCTGCCTCTGATCAGGAGGACTGTCTTAGTTCTCCTGACATGGCTGAAGTCAGGGAGAAGATCTGTAGCTTCTTGTTCGGGGTGGTGGATTCCACAGCCCACAACCTGGCCAAAAACATTGGCTTGACCAAGGCTAGGGATGTGAACACCACCCTTGTGGCCCTGGAAAAGCTGGGGGAGGTGCACAGAGAGAACGCCAACCCTCCAAAGTGGTCTCTCACGGACAACAAGCGGAAGCGGATGCAAGTCAAGATGAAGGCTGAAGAGGTCAGGCAAATGGTTCCCCCTGCTCCAGGCCCAGACCTCGAGCCCCCGACTCCTTGTGCAGAGCCAGAACCACCTGCTGGTGTGCCCTCTCCTCATCTTTCTCCTTCTCCTTCTCCTTCTCCTTCTCCTTCTCCTTCTCCTTCTCCTTCTCCTTCTCCACCTCCACTGCTGGAGAGCGAGGGGGAGAAAATTGAGAACGGGCAGCAGGCTGCCGAGCTGGTGGGACAGAGCGGCGGTTGTCCTCCCTGGACAGGACCCTCTCGCAAGCGGCCCAGGTATCACTGGTTCTCCCATTATGACAATTTTGAGAACGGCAAGTGGGCAACCGACGACATCCCGGAGGACTTGAATGCCATCAGCAACCAGGACGAGTCGAGATGTATTATGGAGTCCCCTCTGTCCCCCAGCTACACAGCCCAATTCGATACCGCCTTCCAGTGCACCCCCTTGGAGAAACTCATGGCGTGCCAAAAGAAGAACCCCGTGAGTGGTTTGATCGAGTACACGCAGTATATGTACCAGCATTGCGAGTTTGTCTTGCTGAAGCAGAGCGGGCCGTCCCACGAGCCACGGTAGGAGACCTTCTTGGGGCGGGAGTCGATCGGAGGAGGAGAGGAGAGTGACTTTGGGGGCTTGAGGGGTGAGCTCATGGAGCCCCTCAAGGCGTTATCGGTCCATGGTGGGCTAAAATGCCCCCATGACAACTCAACCTCCAGCCTCAGAAACGCGAGATGTTTTTCCCTCACTTGTAGCCTGGCACTTACATGATATTTACTCCAAAATTAGGGAGATTAATCGGGCTTCTTCCCAGATAAGTGGGTCAAGAGACGGGTGCTTGTCCCTCAACCACATGCGCAATTTGCACGGCTATAGCTCATGAAAACAAAAAGAAGTTTTTTCCCCCAGGTTTCCTGTGAAATGCATATGAAACGTGGTTGTTTGTCCCCAGAAACAGACTATTCCTTGATTTTCCTCATTTCCTTTCTTCACTGCTCATCCTTACACGATAGCAGTGGGGAAACCCGTCAGAGGCCCCCCGTTAAATAATCCAACCCCATCCCACAGGACCTGCCAGGAAGTATTTTCTAAATATAGGCACAATGTCTGTGGATTTGCTTTCTGCTTGGAGGAACACAGTCCCCCGCCTTTGGGGCAGCGAGCTCAGTTGCAGTATTAAAAGTCTGAAAAATGGGTGCTGGGGCAGGTGGTGAACGGATGAAAATGCGGTTGGAATTGTTATCTCCCTGAGATATTTTTGGACGCTGTACCTTCCTAATGACTTTTGTCTTTTTTTAAAAGATCCGATGGGAATGTTTTAAAGAAGCCACTTGGCTGCTTCCCCCCATTGCCCCCCCCATGGGGGGGGCTTTCTAGGCAATAATTCTCTCTGTCTCTCTCTCTCTTGCCTGCCAAGGTTTAAATTCCAGGCCATGATCGATGCCCGCCGGTTCCCTCCGGCCGAGGCGGGGAGCAAAAAGCTCGCCAAACAGGAAGCTGCGGCCAACGCCATGAAAATTCTCCTCCATGAAGCCGAGCACGAGGGGGAACACGGCATGGGGCTGGAGAAGTCCCTGTACGAGGACAGCTCCCTCAGGGAAGTGGAGATGGTGAGGAGGGAAGAAGGCCGAACCGAAGGGAAAGACGGGCTGCATCCGAAGCTGTGGCTTTGGCGACTCGGTGGAGGCGGCCTTGCGCTTCTGCAAAGCTTGGTGTCGCCCAACCTGGCGCCCCCCAGCTTCCTAAGTTCCATTCAGCCATGAGCGCCAAAGGCTGGTGGAGCTGGGGCCCGTCAGTCTGTCCCTCCCTGAGGCTTAAGACCGGGCTTCACATCCTCGCCAGCCGCTGGGTCCACGGAACATGCTGCGCCCAAACCAAACGATTCGGGTTACAATTTGCTGCAGTGTCTGAATGCAGCCAGCCAAGATGAACGAGCCAAGGATGTTGGGGTAATGCGTGACAGGGGAGACTCTCAGGCACCCTGAGTTTCCATGAGATGCCAGCCTTTATGTGGCAGGCGGAGGAAATCAAAGCAATGGCGGCCCCCCACTTTTCCACCCGTCCTGGCCTCCAGGGTTTTGGAGGTTTACCTCCCCTCCCCTTTTGGCACGCTTTGGAGCAGCAAAATCTTTCCTGTTCGTTTGCAACCCCCAACATGGGCCCTCAGCATAACATAAGCATTTTCACATCTGAGTTAGGGAGAGAGGAATCTGGTTCCTGTTACTGCTGCTGCTGTTATTATTATTATTATAATTATTATTATTATTATCCCTTCCTCCTCTCCAGCCTGAAGAAACAGACCCCGAGCCCTCGTCCACCACGCCACAGCCAACCCTCCTCTCTGGGAAGAACCCCATCAGCGCCTTGATGGAATATGCCCAGAAGTCGGGGAGCATCTGTGAATTCAAGCTGCTGTCTCAGGATGGGCCGCCCCACGACCCCAAGTAAGCTGTGGGAGGGGATTTGCTCCTAGTTGCCTCCTTGGGGGCGGGGGGAAGCCCTGCACTAGAGGAAGGTGACAGAGCAAGATCCGTTGGAAGGAACAGTGAGTTACTCCCTAATGCAACTTCAGGCTGGAAAGGTTTCTGAGCTTTACATGCACGTGCTGTTAGGCGCTCACCCGCCTTCAGGAGAATTGATGTTAGTTGAGAGATTTTCCTCTTTCTTTGTAGGGGTATCCCCTGAAAAAGCTGATAGCAGCTGTGTGGCTGTGCGTATGGGTGTTTAGTTCCCATCACTGGTTCAAGCAGGTGGACAAGATCCCTAGGAGAGATCCCAGGGAAAAGTAACCTGGACTCTCATTGGCCAAAGAAGGATTCCTGGCTGAGTCCTTCCCTCCCTTCCCCATCCTTCTCCCCCCTCCACTTCCCTTCTCTTTTCTCTTTCTCTCCTCTTCTTTCTCAGATTGTGAGACTGGTTTTCTCTTCCCCTTTCAGTCCTTGCAGCGTTCCAAGCATTATAGGTTCTTCCCAAGCCTTCAATAAAAAGCTTGATAATTTATACCTTGGCGGACCACGCCTTCTCCAAAAGGGAAGCAGGTGGAAAAAAATCAATCTGTCCCTCTCATCCCGCTGTTTCCTGCTGGGTCGATTTGCTTTGCAAAACATCTCTGAAGTGTCTGAGCATCTTCCTCCCCCCTCTCTCTCTCGCTCTCAAAATCTTTCCATAAAATCTGCCACAGGATTTTTGATACTGTGCTCTGATCTATAAAAATTAAGCCTCCATGCCTCAACCCAACATTTTCTCTTCCTTTTACACCTGACTCAGTTTCCCCCTCTCTAGATTGCATAGCCTCCGGAGAGGCGCTCGTCTCTCATTCTTTTTACGATGCACAGGGTTACTGCTAACACTGCTAGGTCTGCAGTCGCACATTAATTGAATGTTGACTGGCATCTGTTCAGGTTTAGATACTGCGTGAAGGTGGACGAGCGCGTCTTCCCTGCCGTGGTCTCTAACAGCAAGAAGGGAGCAAAGCAGATGGCTGCTGAGGCCGCCATGAAGGGCCTGTCTGGGGACACGAGTGGCTCGTCCGAGCAGGTAGGGCGTTCCCGCAGCTCCCTTGCATCTTAGAGTTTCTCGGCTTCCTTCGCTCACAGTCCAAACCTCTTTGTTTGCTCGACTTCAGATGGAAGCCCAGGGTGAGCAGACTGTGGAGTTACCAGGCGGCCAAGCGGGGAACCTGGAAGAGCCCAAGGCAGTGAGCGCCAAGGGCGTCGGCGAGTTGATCAAGTACCTGAATTCCAACCCGGTCAGCGGCCTTCTGGAATATGCCCGCGCCAACGGCTTTGCTGCTGAATTCAAACTGATCAATCAGACCGGCCCTCCCCACGACCCAAAGTGAGTCGAGGGTCTGCGGTTCATCCTGCTTGCCCCAGGGATCCCAGCCCCGTGGTTTGGGTCTGCCGGACAAGACCGGCCTCTCTCGAAACCTGTCCAACCTGGGCCATCACGGGCTGAATCATTTTCCTGCAGCCGGTGACGGGAGCCCTCTCCCCCACCCCACTCCCCCCCTTGAGACCCGAGCTTTCTCCAGCTGATTCTTCCCAACAGGTTTGTCTTCCAAGCTAAAGTGGGGGGGCGCTGGTTCCCGTCAGTAACAGCACACAGCAAAAAGCAGGGCAAACAGGAAGCAGCAGACGCAGCGCTCCGAGTCCTCATTGGGGAGACCGAGAAAACTGAACAGACGGCCGAAGGGCTGGGCGTCACAGAGGTTAGGCCTTTTCTAGCACAGGACGTTCATGTTTGCTTCCTTCCTCCGCCTTCCTATCCGAACAGTTAATCCAGCCCCGGTTCGCTGATTTGCGTGACCAATTAATCCATAATTTTTTTTCAGAAAGCCTCTCGGCTTTATCTAGTCAAAGCTGGATTTTGTACCTTGGGTGAAGCCATCAGCAACAATTTGCAAGGGAGTTAGCGAGTTGCAGGAAGCTAAACTCCATTTGCTCTCTTGTAGGGCTTGAACTAGGCCTTCGTATAGTTGGGGGGGTTGCAAGGAGGGGGTAGGAGGAGCCTGGATATATTTCTTCTCTTTCTGGCCCCGTTGAACTTTTTAAAATGGAAATGGAGATTGCCAAGAAACTGGGTTCTCTGTTCTTTTGGGCTCCTGTGGAATTGGTGCAGAGAGCCATGGATATATCGGCATGTCCGGGAATATCTTAATGGTTATTTGACAGTAATTGGGGAACCTAAGCCAAACCTTGTACCAGCTTGTTACATGAAAGTTTGCCCATGATGCACATCACACCTTGCTATCGCTCCGTGTTCCCACATGCTACAACCTTGAATAGTGTAATGGCATGTGGGAAAGACCTTGAGAAACGGGGTGAAGAGACGCTGCCAAGGGAACGGTCAGATAAGAGACGGCTTAGCCCTCAGCTGCATAATGGGCGGAGAAAGAGACTCAGAAGGGACCTCCCTAGTTCTCGGGCTGTGAAGGAGATGGGGGGAGATTTGTACTTTCAGACTTGCAAGATTCTGTCAATGTCGCTTTACAGCAAAGTAGAATCAGGTCATCTGGTCGTGTTGTCTGTCTGGCCTCCTTAGTAAGGCTGACCCATAGAGACGCAAGCCTCCTTTTTAAGTCTTTGAGACTGTGTAGCCCGGAGGGCCGTTCCTGATCTCCCTCCCCTCCGGTTGCAGCTCCCGGTGAGCGGAAGCACCCTGCACGACCAGATCGCCATGCTCAGCCACCAGAGGTTCAACGCCCTCACGGCTCGCATCCAGCACAGCTTGCTCGGGCGCAAGATCCTGGCCGCCATCATCATGAGACGGGGCCAGGAGGGGCTGGGGGTCGTGGTGAGCATCGGAACAGGTAAGGGAGGCGACTTCTTGCCTGAAACAGGAAAAAAAAAATGTACGATTGACGGTTTTGATGGTTAGACAGAAGATTGTAGAAAGAAGAGCGGTACATTGTAATCCTAGGGTAAGAGGCAAACTTAGAATTGTACTTAGAACTCTTGTAAAGAAAAACCAGAAGCTATTCCTTTGTATTCCTTCTTTTCTATTTTTCTGCTACTTTTCTTTTTCCTTTCTTGCACTTTTAGCTTTGTCTTGGTTTTCTTTCCCTTACTTTATATTGGTTTGCATTAGTTTTTACTTCCTTTTTAAAAAATCTTTAATAAAAACTGTGTATGTATAATTTGCCCTTTCGGCTCCACGTTGCATCTGGCTTTGGAGCAACTGCCAAATAAATAAATAGATAAAGGGACAGGAAAGGGAGATTGCTGCTGCTGCTGCTGCTGCTGCTGCTGTTGCAAAAGCAGATGCAACGCGGAGCTGAAAGAGCAAACGAAAGTCTCGGGAGGAAGCTAGATCTGGGGTTGACCCTGTTCTCTGGCTCACGGCGTGCCTTGAGAAAACTTGGCGCTCTCGAGCAACGGTCCCTCCCATTTCCCCCAGATTCCATCTTGCCACTTACCTGCAGCTGCTTGCATTTAGGCTCCATCACGTGGGGCGTCCCTAACTTTTTTTTTTCCTTCCTCCTCACCTGGCAGGGAACCGCTGCGTGAAAGGGGAGGAGCTGAGCTTGAAAGGGGAAACGGTGAATGACTGCCACGCGGAGATCATCTCCAGGAGAGGATTCATAAGGTGAAGGGAGGCAGTGGGTTAGGCCCTGCAACCGCCCAGGCTGCCAGGAAGACTGGGGGAATGGGAAGTTGTGACACTCGGTCTTCTTTATTTGGGGAGCCCCACTGCCTTCTCGGGCAGCATTCATGTCCCAGCGCCGTCGCCCTTCCTCTTTCCTTTGTTTCTAGGTTTCTGTACAGCGAGCTCATGAAGTTCGACCCCTCGGCACCGGAGGACAGCATCTTTCAGCCGGCGGTGGATGGCAAACTGAAGATCAAAGATGACATCACCTTTCACCTGTACATCAGGTGAGTGCTACCTGAAGCTTGGCTCAGCCGTGGAAAATCATAAGGGGGGAAAGATAGAAGTTCCAAAGGGGCGAAGGAGCTGCGTTTTGGGGGACTGAAATAGGAACTGGGAGATGGAGGAGGAGGCCCCCCCAAACTTGGCCGGCTGGAGGTAGGAAGTTGGCATCCAACTGTATCTCCCCTTTCAATCATCTTGCAAGCAGGTCCTACGGGGTCGGGGAACTTTAAACTGGGTTCAGATTCAGCCTCACAGCTTGGTATGTGTGTGTGTGTTCTCCAGCACGGCGCCTTGTGGAGACGGTGCTCTCTTTGACAAATCCTGCAGCGACCAGGCCAGCACAGCCGGGGAGGACCAGCACCAGCCCCTCTTTGAGAATCCCAAGCAGGGGAAGTTGCGCACCAAGGTGGAAAATGGTAATTTCCTTCAAGAACCGAGTCCTCCTAAAACCGAAAAGCCGAATCTCACGGTCTAGTCCCTTTCCTTGAGATCCTGGGATGCTCTGATTTGTGTGGCTAAAGCACAAAGCGTCTGTTTTTGCCTCAGGACTGCAAAAACAGCAGGGCGGAGAGTAAATCTATCTTTGCTCGATTAATTGGCGAACTGGGGATGAATTACCCAGGCTGGGCGCAGAGGCGTTTGGAATAAAAGTGTCTTCCGAGGGAGCGGCCCTGTTGATTTCTCAATTTGCGACAATCCGGTGGCTGCCTGGAGCCAAGGAAGAGAACAACCTTCTCTCCTGCTGAGTGCAATTGTCACGGCAGCCAGTCCCCATTGCTCTGTGAAGGCAAGAGTATCAGCTGCCAAGAGGGAGTAGGAGAAGGTCCGCAAGGACTGGCTTTAATGTGCATCCTTTGGGCTGATCCGGGGCCTCGTGCTTTTCCGCAGGAGAAGGCACCATCCCGGTGGAGTCCAGCGACATCGTGCCAACCTGGGATGGCATCCAGCATGGCGAGCGCCTGCGCACCATGTCCTGCAGTGACAAAATCCTCCGCTGGAACGTGCTCGGCTTGCAAGGCGCCTTGCTGTCTCACTTCTTGGAGCCGGTCTATCTTCGCTCAGTCACACTCGGTAGGAAGGTCTTCTCCTTCTCAGCCAAGCTGGGTGCGGGGGGGGCATGGCTTCCTCAAGGTCCTGGTTCTAAGCCCTGGTTTCTCTCAACCAACCCTGCTTTGCTCCACTTTTACCCCGCTTCCAAGCGAATGCGTCTCCAAGCATTTTGCAGAATAGAAAAAGGACCTTCAAACAATGTGGAACAATAGTCATTGATCAGGTTGTGGGAGGAGGTGAGTCCAATTTATGGGCATTTCATGCGAGGAAGGCCCAGATGATCTTCCCCAGGCCTAAGTTTTAAAGAAGCCACAGGAGGTGAGTTCCCCAACCACACCACCAGGAAAGCAAGCCAAACCCCCCGTTTTACCTTAGTATGATACAGGTCATCCTCATTTAGCGACTGCCTCATTTAGTGACTGTTTAGAGTTATGACAGTGATGAAACAGTAACTTTGCAACCAATCCTCGCATTGATGACCTTCGCAGGTCTGTAAAGCCAAGGAAAGCAGAAGTCAGATCGTAAGCACAGTCGCGGTTTCACTGAGCAACTGCTTCGCTTAACGACCAAGTTGCTGGTCCCCATTGTAGTTGCTAAACAAGGACTGCCTGTATCTGAGTTCAACCGCTGTCTTTGCGCTATAGGTTCCTCCAGGTGGGAGGAGAACGTGCCTTAGAGACGTGTGGCTGCGGCGCCATGTTTTTCTGGTTTTATTTTTATGGTTGTCGGGTTTTATATTATTTTATACTGTTTTTACAGTGCTTTATTGGTGGTGTTGATAGCTCTGCTTGCAAACTTTCCCTTGGTACATCTTTCCATTTTCTCTCTCCAGGTTATTTGTACAGCCAAGGTCACTTGACCCGCGCCATCTGCTGTCGTATGTCCAGAGACGGCAGCACGTTTGAGACAGCACTTTCCGCACCCTATTTTGTCAATCACCCTGAGGTATCTCTTGCGTCCACATCGGCCTCTCTCTTTGATTCAATTAATAGAGAAGAGTCAAGATGGATGATAGCACTTACTTAAGAGAGCAAAAAAGCGGGGGGGTGCGCGTTTGTGTTGGTCTCTCTTCTGTCTTTTTTAAGACACAAAAGATAGCTTGCATAGAAGTGGAGATCTGTGTGGGCAGGTGGTCTCCCACCCCCCATTCTCCCCAAATGACCCCCCAGCAACACAGTCAGATGTCTTAAGTTATACAGGTAGTCCTCATTTAGCAACCACAATGGGGTCCATCAACTCGGTCGTTAAGCGAAGCAGTCGCTAAGTGAAACCACGACCATGCTGATGATCTTACTTCAGCTCTCCTTTGCTTTACACACCTTTGAAGGAGATCTGTGAAGGTTGCAAAATTATTTTTCATCCCCGTTGTAACTGCGAACGGTCGCTGTGCAAGGCAGTCGCTAAACGAGGACTCCCTGTACATTGCTTTTAGTCCTTGAGGACAATGGCCCACCATCTTTAGCTTCCTGCTGATAAAACTTTTGTAAATCAAAGCTTAGCAAGCCGTGTCCCCACCCCGGAGACACTAGACCGTTCTGTGATTTCTAAGCATCTGAGGAATAGGGTAAATGTGCAGAGTGATACGTGATAAGCTTGAGGGGTGGCCGCTCGTGGCTCTGGGTCCGGCAAAGAAATTCAGGCCCTCCCCGTGTCCCTGCAGGTTGGCCGAGTCAGCGTCTACGACTCGGCGAGGCAGACAGGCAAGACCAAGGAGTCAAGCATCAACTGGTGTCTCCCCGACAACGCCAGTGTTGAGGTGCTAGACGGCACGAAAGGCAAGGTGGATGGGTAAGTCAGACTTGAGCGCGTTCAGTCTATGCGCCTGCCGGCAGCCCCCCAAAAATTCTGGGGCTGTCGCCGAGATCCTGGAGCCCTTTTACGCACCGGCTCCCGGCCCATCCTCAGCGTGTCGCCATGGGGGAACCAGGTCCATTTTGGCATCGGAACGGCAACCTTTGTCGTGACCCAGTCCTGGGTCTCTTCTGTTCCCCCGCGTCGCTTGGACCCAAAAAGTTGCAGCACTGTCCCCCCTCTCATTTCCTTTGGAAGCAGCGGGGCTTTGCTCTAAACGTACAAAAACTCCCCCACCGGTTTTTTGGGGTGTGTTTTTTCCCCCTGAGTTGTTTGGGATCACGGGCCCTTCCTCTTCCCCAGGCCCAAACTGGATGTTTCGCGAGTCTCCAAGCAGAACCTCTTTGCACTCTTCCGGTCGCTTTGTGCCAAGATGGGTCGGGAAGACCTGCAGAACTTCGCCGTCTACTCGGAGGCCAAAGCAGGTGCCCTCACATACCAGAGTGCCAAGCGCCAATTCTTCTGGGCCCTGCAAGAGATGGGGTACGGAAGCTGGATCTGCAAACCTCAGGAGGAGAAGACCTTTGTTCTGCCAGAAGTTTAACAAGCTGCACATTTCATTTGATTTTTTTTTTTTTTGTAATTTTCTGCAGATGTCGGGAAAAGGGAGGATTTATTTTTTATTATTTTAGATTTTGGGTGGTGGTTGTCATTTTTAACGGAACCAGGAATGTTCACATAGAGTTACAGGTTTCCGGAAACTGGCCATTACTTCCAGTTTAAATCAACAAGGCATTTTAATTCGGTTGGGAAGGCCAGGGGTCTTCCCCACTCCCTTTTAATCCCCCCTCCCTTTTTCAGCAAAGATTTGCAGAGACATGATCCAAAACGTTGTGCTCGAGGGAACAAGAGATCCACCAGCATTCCTTTCTCCCTCTCTCCACCCTGCAACTTTTCCTCCTTCCTTCCTTTTTCACTTTCTGGGGGGGGGGCAAAAAAAAAAATCATTGTTTGACCCTTTGTTTTCAAGCGGTGCAGTCGGTACACTGGTCACTTTGTGCTCACACATTTGTTACTTTGCCACAAGAGCTCTGTTCTGTCCAGGTGGCTTCCGAAGAGCGCCGGGACGATTTCCCATCTGTTTAAGCGGATCGGATTGTTGAGGAACGTTTCGGCTTTTCTCCAAGTCTTTCGAGCGACGCCTCTGGGCCAAAGGACGGTGTCGAGATCTGCCTGACCGGGTGGATCCAATCAAGCCGGGTGGATCCAATCTGCCTGACCGGGTGGATCCGAGGTGGCCGTTCTGTGGTTAAGTCTTTCCCGCACAGCCCCACGTGAGCTGCACACTCAATTCTCCCAGCAGAGCTTGGCTCCCATTTCCCCTTCGGCCGGCAAGCAGCCTTGGGGGTTCGTCTTTTCCCTGAGCCCAGGCTTTGCAGAAAGGTGATTTGGGAAGGCTCGGGGGGCCGGGGAGGCTGAAGCTACGTGCTTGGCGTGAATGCGGGCTGAGGAATGCTCCCTGCCAGCCAGCAGGAACCGAAAGAAGGGGTGGGATTGCGCTGGGGGAAACCAGGGAGGTCTGGTGGTCATCCCGAAAGACGGCAACCGCTTCGTGATGCCTGCCAGTCGTGTGGCGTGTCTCTCAGGCAGGCAAGACCCAGCCCTCCAGCCAGAGAGGGAGAATGTCTTACCTGGGTTCCATCCCATGGATGTTGTCTTAATGCAGAGAGGTTGGAGAATGGGCATTTCCTCCTCCAAGTCTGAACAGGCACATGGCTGTTTGACAAGCTTGGAAGCGGGAGCGTGACCCTGTTCCAGAGCTCCCTGCATTCAAATGGGCAATTTGGGATGGGAGCGGGGGGGTGTAATGTGGCCAAATCACATTCTCCCCCTCGGTCTTCCCTGCACATAGCCAGCGTGGCCGTACGAAGGCTCTAGGCTAACGTATGTGTAAATTTAAAATAGAGAAGATATTTATGCAAGGTCCCTCCACGGTCTCCTTGGGTGCTGGCCCCCAAAATTACTTTCTTGGGTGCTTTTCCCCTAAAGCAAAAAGGGAAAGTTGCCCCTGGTTAGATATTTTCTAATACCTCTCTCCTTCCCTTCAGCCCTGCTTTGTGTTTCATTCGGCCCTCGCTCTCAGTTGGCGTTGCTGGAAATCCACTTTTCGTCAAAACAAAAACTGAAGCCTTCCATTCCCAACATTTTGCCCCCGTGGTTTGTTCCCCCTCCCCTTCATTGTGATAGTCCTCGCAAGGACACCAGCTCCAGATTTGGCCCTTCTCCTCTTGTAACACAGGTTACTTCTCCCCCCACTTTTTTTATTTGGCAAGTCGTTTCGTTCCCCCACTGGGTCCCCTCATTTGACGGACAAGTCATCGCATTCCACCTGAAATAAAGAGATTTTCTGTATCGGCTCCCCAGCGTGTGGTTCTTTCTAAAGAAGGCGAGGAGGTTCATCATGGCGGTTTCTCGGACAGCTGTGAGAAGGGATCTCTGGTTGGGGAGCCGCGGCAGTTCAAGTCAATGGGGATGCATTTTTTTCCTGCAAAGAGGCCTTCAACTAAACAACATGGGCGCAATTCGGTCCACATTGATCTTCGCCCGCAGCCATCCTGATCTTGGGAGCACAATGTAGCCAGGGTTGAGTTCGTGCCATCGGTGCGGAGTTGCCCAATTTGCATTTCCGGGGGAAAGCGCGCATCCCTGCTTTGATTCAAGAAGAGCGCGTGCACAGCACGTCTGCCCATTTAGCTGCTCCGGGACCAATCAAGGCAGCAGGCTGGCCCAGCCTATGGTTAATGTGGGGCTGAGGATTGATATGAGCACAGCGGCTGTGGTTTGGAATCGGATTAGGGCTCTGTGGAAAACTAGCCTTTTATCCCCCCCCACCCTGAAAATTGTGGTCCTCAGAGCCTGGAACCAGGGAGAAAGTTCCCCCCACCCCCAGTAAGAGGGTATCTACCCTCCTATCACAGCATAAATTTTAAGTTCTTGGGGAAAAGACCTGGAATTTATACATTCTAGTCAACCTGTTCCTTCCCCTGAAACTTCCCGTCGTCTTCCACTGAACTGCTCACCAGGTAGTATTTACCAATAGGTGCGTCTGCACACAGAGGTTTTGTTTCACCCATCAATAAACAAGCATTCTTCTGCAGGGTCTTGCATCTTCCCCACCTCCCCCCTGCCTGACCACCCCACAGCTGGGGAAGATGGCTTGATGGCCCATCGGAGTTCAAGAAACACCAGGCAAGGAAAGAGGGCAAGGAAGGGCTGTGTGTTCCTGGTGGCTCATCTCAAAAGCCGAACGGCTGGGAGTGAGTCCAAACTTCTAATTTGCAACACGAGGGTTCAAGGACGTGCGCCGGACTCCGAATGTGCCTCACTCAGCTTGTACCTCGTGAACCGAGTTGCCCCTCCAATGCGCGGCTGTTGTCGCAATTAGTAAGGCCTTAAAGCTGGAGGGTTTTCTTGTCTGAGATGTGAGCAATTTTCCAGGGGGTCAAGGCAAATTTATCTTACTGCAGTGCCCTCCCACCCAATCCCCAAAGGCCAGCATATGGACACCCTCCTGTTAAAAGGTGGGAGGTTTACCCTGAGCATTGAAATCTTCCTTTCACAATCCCTTTGCGCTTTTTAGCCTGAAGTCCTAGAGCAGAGTTTCTCAACCTTGGCAACTTTAAGATGTGGGGACTTCAACTCCCAGAATTCCTGGCTGGGGAATTCTGGGAGTTGAAGTCCACCCATCTTAAAGGTGCTAAGGTTGAGAAACACCGTGCTAGCGATTAAACAGGCTGCAAAAAGTCCTCTTTCATTGCAAGCTGAGTGCTCCACCACCAATTCCCCCTTCTTCCCCCATGGCCCCAGAATACCCATCCCGTAACAGCTTCACCGAAAGACAGACCCTCCGATCTACGTGATGTATTTTATTGTTGTTTCAATGTTAACAATGGCTTGAGACAGTAGGACGACGGGAAAACAGTCAAGGAGGTTTCTTTGACCTCTGCCCAAACCACTTTTTCTCAGACATCCGTCCCCATTAGCAGGTAAGGGAGTCTCATCTGCCCTACAAGACAGAATGAACAATCATTCTTCAGCATAGACTGGCTGTCTGGTTGCAAACTCCCCTCCAACCAACCTGGTTGTGCAGACCTAGAGGTCAGTATCCTGCACAGGTCCTCTGCAGGAGCTCTCCTGCCCACAAACAAGGATTGTCCAAGCCACCCAAATCCAATGAATGGTGTTTGGTTGCTGCAAAAGCCCGTTCTTCTTCTGCTGAGGCTTCATGGAGACGTACTGGAAAGATGGATGTACAGATACATGTCTCTCTATATATATTTTCCTGAGTTGGAAGCTAATACCCATAACTGGCCTAACCCACAGTACATTTAGGAGAGAAGGAGGAGAACTAATCTAAAATGCCCAACAGCAGTGAAACTCTGCAGAAAGTCCCACCATCCTTGGTCCGTCACCTTCTTCTGCCCCAAGATGGAGGACTTTCCATCCTTGTTGGAACCAGCTTGTCCCTGAAAACGTTTGGGAAAACTGGATATCATCCCAAGAGCCACCCCTTGGTAGGACCTCATGGTAGCAAAGGAGATGATTTGGCCACCTTGGGTAGGGAGAACTTCCTCTCTTCGCTTGTCCCTTGCTACTGAAACTGGTCATAATGAGGCAGGGAAGTCTGGTTAACCTGGTTAACCGTATCATCCCATTGGCCCACAGGCTTTCCAAAGCAACGAACACCTTCCAAGGGGATAGGACTTATCGAGGTCTTACTCCTTCTCAAGTCATCAGTTCCTGGGATGGATGGGTTAAAGGTCTTCTGTCACCTCTTGGTAGCACTGTGAGATGATGTCCATAGAAGGAGCCAAGGTGTGTGTCCCCTTTCTCTCTTCCTCCTGGTGCAGAAGAAGACCACCCTTGGCCACTATTTGGAGCTGGGCAAATCATGATTGATTTGCAGGAGGGAATTGGTGGCATAGTTCTGGAAAAGGGGCTGGAGGAACATGCCGATGGTGCCGAAGACGCAGACGAAGATGAAGATCCACAGGAAGAGGCGGTCAATCACCATAGCTACATATTTCCAGTCCTCGCTTACCTAGAAAGGGGACAAGGAGCAGGGATTAGCACCCTCAATTGGATCTGCTTGGAAATGGCCTCATACTGCCCCCTAGTGGTGGGGATGGTCATCATCCTGATTTGTTTTGGCCAAAGTGAGACTAGACTAATCGCAATTTTTTTCACCCCTCAAGGAATTCTGCCTAGTGTGGCTTGCTGGTTGGGTTTGATCCTCCCTCTCTATTTCATTTAATTTAATTTTCATGGTGTGCGCAACCCAGTGACAAGGGGGAGATGGGCAGCGACATCAATTTAATAAATAAATAAAAATAAATACATTGGCTTGTTTGCCAAAGTCCAGGGAAGCGAGCCCTGGAAAACCTGAGTGAGAGTGATTATCCACCCCCACTTAACAGAAAAAGCAAATAACTGTCTAAGCTGGAGGGGGAATGATACAAAGAACAGGTTCGTAGGAGAAACAGAGAATCAAAGGCACTTTTTCCCGGACTCACTGCTGGCCTGGGTCTTCCACCAACATCCTCCGCAGGTTGAAATGAAAGCCACCCTCCCATCTGCAGCTTTATGCTGCTTACTAGAGACTAAATCCCCTTTGAACCTTCTAGAAGGTTTGGAACAGCCCCCAGTGAATACAAAATGTTTCACCATAAAACATTTAGTGCCTATGATGATATGTGGGAAAGACCTTGGGAGACGGGGCCAAGAGACGCTGCCAAGGGAACAATCAGATAAGAGACGGCTTAGCCCTCAGCTGCATAATGGGCAGAGAAAGAGACTCAGGAGGGACCCTCCCTAGTTTCTCGGGCTGTAAAGGAGATGGAGACAGAGGGAGAATTGTACTTTCAGACTTGCAAAATTTACGTCGGCCTTGTGGGGTAACCCAGACGGGAATCACAACCAGATGAGCTAATTCTACTTTATTGTAAAGCGACATTGACAGAATCTTGCAAGTCTGAAAGCGCAAATCTCCCGCCATCTCCTTTACAGCCCAAGAAAATAGGGAGGGTCCCTTCTGAATCTCTTTCTCTACCCATTAGGCAGCTGAGGGCTATGCTGTCACTTATCCGTTCCCTTGGAAGAATCTCTTCACCCCATCTCTCAAGGTCTTTCCCACCTACCATCACAGCACCCTCTCAGCGGACATCCTCCCCTTCTGCCACGTCCCTCAGCTGACTCACACTCTGGTCGTTGTCTTCGCTCTTCATGTGATCCGCAATGAAGCACACTCCATCGATCGCCTCCTCCAGTCCGCAGCAGCAGGGATCTGCCTGGGGCACCGACTGGCCCAGTCTCTCCCGATAACCATTGACCCCGTCGGAGGTTTCCGTGAAGGTCCTGCCGCTGCTGCTCCCTGTCCCAAACTTCTTGACGGTGGAAGGGTTGATGTAGCAGGTGCAGGAGCGGGCCCCTTCTCGCAAGAAGAAGCTCCCCGTTGCCCGTTCCTGGCTCTGGCGTTTCTGCCGCAGCTGCTGGCGGGCACAGCTCTGCCGGGGCTGTTTCAGGAAAAGTAAGGTGGGCAGCTTTTCCAGGAAGACCACCTTGACCCAAGGGGGCATGGTGTGCGTGGTGGGGGAGCGGTGGTGGACGTTGAGCACACAGACGCTGGTGACTATGGAGAAGGTGACCAGCACCATGGTGAACATGAGATACTTGCCCACCAGGGGAACATCCAGCGAAGTGGGGGGCACGATTTTGGAGATGAGGAGCAGGAAGACGGTGAGGGCCAGGAGAACCGAGATGCAGAGAGTCATCTTCTCACCACAGTCGGAGGGCAGGTAGAAGACCAAGATGGCCAAGGAGGTGATGAGAATGCAAGGAATGATGAGGTTGATGGTGTAAAAGAGGGGCTTTCGGCGGATGATGAAGTCGTAGGTGATGTCGACGTAAGTGGAGTCATTGGGGTTCTCATTACGTCGTCCGGGCAGAGCGATAATGTCCCACTCCCCGCTAGGGGTGAAGTCATCCAGGCTGGCAACCTCGCTCTTCAGCACCAGATCGATCTCCGTCCGGTCGTAAGTCCACGAACGGAACTTCATTGTGCAATTTTGCTGGTCAAAGGGGAAGTGCTTCACCTCAATCTTACACGCGCTCTTGTAGATGGCTGGCGGGAGCCAGAAGATGCTTCCGTCATAGGACACCACTGCGTTGGAGTAGAAGGACACCTCGTACATCCCGTCCGCGCTGGAGACAGGAGATACAAGAAGCTGTTGAATGGGATGAAGCCTGATTTTGGGGTCTGGCTGGCTAGATGGGGAACTTGTGAAACTCACTGCCGCAGGACATGGCACTTCTGAAGGGGCCTGACGTGGGTTTTAAAAACTGAGCAGCCGTGTTGGCGTACAACAAAACTGAGCTGAGATACCAGATTTCCTATTTTCTTATTCAAGACACTCCTGTGAGTGTTACACTGATCTTTGTTCCTTTTTAAAAGAACGCTACCTCATCCTTAACGCTAGACAATTTTTTGGGGGGGGGGTTACAAGGAGAAAAAAAAGGGGCTATAGGTCGTGGGGTAACAGCCATGAATGCTGGAGTAAAAGCCTCTTCTCAGATGTGGAGAATTGGAGGATCTTTTGGTTGCCCCCATTTAAAAAAAAAAAAATCTGCCACTTTCAAAGGTAACCAACATTGGAGGAGAAATGAATCCAAGCAGTTAACAGCACTGTGAAACTGACTAGACAGGATTCTGAAATGGACTAGACTGGGCTGTGAAACCGACCAGAGGGGCGCAGGGTGAGGGAAGAGATGCCCCAATCTCTGAGACTCAATCTTTAATGACCTACATCCGATAAGCAGGAGTGATGGAGTGACACTGTCCTCTTCCCAGGGGCTGACACAACATTGTGGTCCCAACCTCAGGTTCTAGCAACTCCTGGATTGGGAATGACCATTTTGGGGTACCTACTTGTTGTAAAGCACCACGTCCGGAAGCCAGATGTGTTTGGAAGGCAAGCGCACCTTCTTCATGTCGTCAAACTCTTCCGGGTTCCACGTCAGACGATAATCTTCCCATTCCTGTCGGGATGTAGACCCAAGAGTGCTACTCCGAGGACAAGGCCCAATTTAGATATGGATTCCACCCACCCAAATCCAGCACTTTTTTTCCTGCCCTGGCTTGGATTCCCTTCCCTGACTGTCGGCTTAGACAAGAAAGACTTACTAGAAGACCTTCGGAAGGATGACAGTTGCCGAACAATGGAAGAGATATCCTTTGGCAGGTCACCTCCTCCTCCCTGGAGATCAATCGTCAAGCTGGGAGGACATCATTACAACTCTGCATTGTGGATCCTGCCACTGAAGTGGGGGCTCAGCTAGATGGCCTCCTGGTCCCCCATTAATACCCTCTGGCCCTTAAGAGTCCTTGATTGTTCTAGGCAGTTTATTTACCCATCCTCTAAATATAGATGTGTACGCATGAATCCGCAAAGGAAGGAATGAGTCTTACCTGTGTCAGCCATACATTCGTGGTCATGATCTGTTCTCGCTCGTGCTACAAATAGAAATGGGAGGGAGGACAATAAAGACACCCGAAAGAGAGTGGGGTGAACAGGCCTGGTCTGGGCAAAAGGCAAACCGCATTAGCAACTAATCTAGCAGGTTTCTGGGGGCCCTAATCCAAACAGAGTGGAAGTTGAAGTCCACACCTCTGAAAGCTGCCAAGGCTGAGAAACACTGCTTTAGAAGGTCTTTAGAACCTCCCTTCCCTGTGAAATAGGAGGAAGGGCATAATGGGGAGGGGGCTTCATGGATGAGTGGCGGGTCTTAAAATTGCCCCTTTCTTGGGCTCCTTGCTGGAAAGCAAGGCCTGGAAGGAGCGGCTGATCCCATCTTCCCACCCAAAGCTGGGCCTGATGGGCAAGAGAACTCAACTTCATCTGAAGGTATCTCGAGAGGAATCCGTTGGTGGCTCCAGGGGTCCCCTCAACCCCCCACCCCCTCTTCATACATACCACACTTATCAGCTGGGCCAGAGAGACCATCAGCTGGACCGTGACCAGCTCAGAGCCATTGGTGGCTGGGCGGATCAGTTTGTTGTAGCGCGTTGGGTCGAGGAGATGCTCCACCAGCCGTTCCTCGGTGTCGGTTCCAAGGCTCCCTGAAGAAAACCGGTGTCTGTTAGAAACCTTTTCCTGCCCAGAAAAGTTGCCTTGTTCACGCGGGCTGTGAACCCAAACTTCCAAAAGCGGGGCACGCAGGCAGGGTAAAAACTCAGCTAGTGATAGCAGATCTCTCCTCCTTTTTTTGGCCCTCCCATTTCTTCTCTAGAGCCAGCCCCAACGGGGCAAGTGTTTCTCTAAACTGGGGTCGGCGCAGCCCTCCAGCGCTTGAACAGGCTGTTGGCACCCAGCTTCCCCCAGCGGTGAGACGTTTCTTCCTGATCAGGTTTTATTCTTTTCTATTTTTCTTTTACTTCCCCCCCCCCTTCCTTGCACTTTTACCTTTCTCTTGGATTTCTTTCTTTTTCCTTTTTCTTACTTTATATTAGTATGTGTTTGATATATATATGTATCTCTCCTTGGCAGGCTGTTATAATAATGTTGTCAGCTCTGGCTCACTCAGAATCACGATCCTCCTGTTTGTCCGTCTGTGCGTGTTTCCTGTCTGATCCCCTGAAATCATATCAGAGGCCAATGCATTCCAGTCCTCAGTCTCCCCACCTCTGTTGGTTGCTTTACAGGCAAAAGAACAACAGGTGAAGTTCTATCTGCCACGTTTTCTGCTCGTTGGACAAACAGAGGAATACCCCTGAGTCTTTTCCATCTCTCTGGGGTTGGGGATTGTTAGCCATCCATGATTCCTTCTTTCTTTGAAGGGAAGGACTCCAGAGAAATTCACCTTCCCCTCCAGAGGTCAAAAATTCCCTTCTCAACTCTGGGAGTTTAGACAACTCCAAGTTGTGTAACTGAAGAACAGACAAAGGCCTTCTAGGCCTGGCATTTTTGGTATCATCTTGTGGCCCAAAAGAGAATCCTGGAGGCTTGCCAGGGAGGAAAAGTGGCTGAGAACACTTTCTTCCTTTTGCTTTTCCCCTGGAAACTGGTTTTGGGAGGTAGACTGCCTCTGAAGCTGGAGGTTTCATTAGGCATGTTAGTGAAAAGTCTGGTGGAATCAGGCCAAATTCCCTTCCCAAAATAGCTCATCAAATGCTTCTGGGAAGCCCATGAGCAAGAACAGCTCATTTGTATTCTTCAGCAATCTGTTTCTGATCTCGGCGTCCCCAAAGGCCATTGGGAGTAATTTCTCTCTCCTTTGTTTTCTTGCATTCTAATTTCAAGCAGGAGTGCGGAGAAATCCACCTCCTTGGACCAGAGTGGCCAACCCCTTCTTTCTACAGCCCATAGAAGCCTCTCTGCCTGAAGAAATTTGGCTACGCAATGGCCACAAAAATGAGCGGTGTGGTTTCCTATCATTCTGAGGCAGGAAACATTTAAATACTGTAGTGGAAGACCTCGAGCAGCTTCCAGGCGGTCTGGAGCACCGAAACCAAATCTGAGCCTCTCTGATCCAGTTTTGGTTGCCCCAACCCAAGGAGGAAGCTGAGGAATTGGGAAGAGGGATGAGAAGGACGGCAAAGAGGGTGAGGGGCTTGGGGGCTTCATCCTACAAAGGTCCAAGGAACTGGGCCCGTTTAGCCCAAAGAAGAGAAGGTGGAAGGGAGATACAATAGCAGGTTTACTGAGGGAGATTCAAGCTCGAAATATAGAGAAATTTCCTGACTGGGAGAGCTGTGAAGTGCTGAACAGCTGACTCCTGGTGTCATGGGGGATCCATCGCTGGAGGGTTTCAAGCAAGATTGGGCAGCCATTTGGGATGGTCTGAGGATCCCCACCGGGGGCTGGACTAGAAGACCCCCAATGTCCCTTCCAACGCTAAGATTCTAGGATTCTCTAGGGTTCTATGAAATGTCGAAGAGGGGGAAATCCCACCCCTATCCACCTGCACAATGCAGTTCTGTTTTCCTTGCGTCTACACCATGGATCCCTTATCTTCCCCCCAAATATTAAGCGTGGTCTCTGGCTACCAAAACCTTGCCTCCTTCTAATTCAGTTTATTTAAAGCAAGGAGGGATGTTACGGGGGGAGGGGGCTCCAGAAAGGATGCGCTACAAATCTCATAATTTCGTAGCCAGCAAGACATCGTAGATGTTGTAGTCCAAGCTCATGTGGGTGGCACCCGTTGGGTTAACTCTCACCTAGGGGATGTGGGCAGAAGGACCACAGGAAGACCCATCTCCAGGAATGGGGGTGTGATGGGGTGGGAAATCTTATCAAGCTTATACATCTTTAGGTCACAAATCCAGAATATCTCTTGGCAGGTAAAAGATGCAGTCTCTTTAGGGACGTAATGGGAGGGGGTCCTTAACTGCTTGGACATATCGTGATTTTTTTGGAAGGCAGCGATCGGAAGATGTTTTTCTTGGATCCTTCTAATTATTTTTAGGGAAGGGGGAAATGAAATCCTGATTTGGCCTTCTGCAGAAGGGGGATGTTAAGGTGGCCTAGCAGACAGAGGCCTGTCACACGTCTAGTTCATTGAGTAGCTGATGAATTTCTGAGCTCCCGATATGGAGGTACAATAACAATAGCAGTTCTCTTCCAGCTGGGAGAAGCCACCCTCTTCTGCTCCCTTTGGGGAGAAGAGTCAAAAAGGGCCCTCATCCTGTTTCAGACAAAGCCCTGGATCTCCTTTATGGGGACAAAGGGGAGGTGACAATGATCAGCTCCATTGCTAACGCCGAGGAGAACACCCAACGGCCCAGAGGGGTACAGAAAACCATCCACTTACTTCTCAGGATCCCCAAGAGGCAGAGGCAGATGAGAAGGGCCATGGAGGCGGGGGTCATCTTCGCTTCTCAGGAGGGAGGCATCTCTTTCTCCCCCCCTTCTTTCACCCACCGCGAAAGCGAAGCAGGTCCTTCAGCAGCCAGTCTCCGATAAGCCGGGGGCGGGGGAGGGGGTGGGAATGGAGGCGTATCCCGGGGGGGTGGGGGGGTTGCACTTCCCCGCTGCCCCCCCCAACCTGCCCCAAAAGAGGGGAGCTGGGCGGCCTCCTCGTCCCGATCGCGCCGCTGTCCGTGGTGCTGAAATCCAAGCTCCCGGGCTACTTCGCGCGGCCGCTGCGCTCTCCGTGGTGCTGAATCGCTCCTCGGTCAGCTGCGCCGGAGAGCAGGGGCAGTGCTCTGGAGACCCCTCCTCCTCCTCCACCCTCCGCCCCTAACTCATTTGCAGAGGCAATGCGCAGAAAAATGGGAGGCCAAGGCGCCCCAGATCACCTGGACTTCTACGTTGGGCATCGCCGCCTCTCTTTGACACAGCAAGGAAGATGCCATCCTTCTCGCTCTGGAAGGGGCAGGCTGCGGCAGGCCCCTTTGAATCCTCCCAAGAGCAGGCTCTTTTCTCCCCATTGAACTGGAACTGTGGGAGTGGAGAAATCTGAAAGAAAAGGGAGGAGAAAGAGGTGTCCTGCGTAACACAGCCAGATGAGATTCAGATAGATTATATTCTGTTTGGTCATAGGCAGAACGGCGCATCAGAGAGAGGAGGGCAGAGTAGCCCCCTTTATGCTGTATATTTCTTCTCTGCTTGTTCATGAGTAGGGTTCGTGGGTTCAAGAGAACAGTAAGTGAGAGAAACAGGCCCTCAAAGAGAAGAGGGAGGTAAGCACATAGGAGACACTCCATGGCCACATTTGGGACTATGGTTCCCATGAACCCTCACCATTAGCCATGCTGTCTGGGGTTGGGGGGATGTCCAAAGCATCTAGAGGACCCTGGGAAGCTTCAGTATGAAAGGAGTGTGCCCTTCCCACATTTGGAGTGAGTGTGTAGAGGTGTGACTCCTTCCCTGGTTATTTTGGGAGCTGATTTTCATTGGATATTCACAAATATACAGAGTTTTCCACTTCGATAAGAGACATCCAACGTGTTCAGATCTTGGCTCATACGTGCAACTGCAGAACTTGTGTGCAGATGGGTGTGTAAGGGGAAGGGAGATGGCTCGCATCTGGCTCTTCCTTTCCCAAGGAAACTCCCAAAGGTTGTGTAACATGCCTCCTCTGCACTTCCCCTCTTATTGAGTGTCCTATTTTAATTCTCAATCCATAAACATTTGAAGGTACGGACAACAGGAAAAAGGTCTCCACTTTGGCTGGAGAAGCCAAGCTGATTTGGTACAAACCAGTATCCCTTCCGGCTGTATCTGTCTAACAAGAGTAGGGACATTGCTCCTGTCTTGTCGAAAACCACCAGATCTTCCAACCAAGCAGAGTTATCTAAACCATCTCACCTTCGTTGCTTCAGTTTGGTTCGTCCCGCGTTTCTATTTTCCTTCCTCGATTCATTCTTTGGCTCGCCTTTCATCAGGGTGAACTCTACTGTTCAGTCTGCTCCTTTAGGAGGCCAAGGTTCACTTTTCAGGGGTGAGGTGAGCAACCCACACCCCTGCGGAAGCAACTCACCGGAAGCCTGCCAGCCCCCCCAAGTTCGTGCTGCCAAAACTGGGTAACAAAACAGCCAAATTTCCATAGAAAAAGGATCAGGAAATCTCCGTGAAGCACCCATGCACACAGCCAAATATTGCAATTCTGCAGGCTGGTTTCAGCCCATGTTTTCACCTCAATAGGACGGTAGGAGCCAAACTGCTTCTCTTATTCACCCTTAATCCAACCCCCAAATCCCTAAAAAGGGGCAGGTGGGCTCCGTTGACTTTTGTGACCCTGTCCTCACAAAAGGACGCCCCACCCTTTCCCCAAAAAACGAAATAGGGAAGCTCCTTCTCATCGCTGTCTTTAGTTTCCCTGGCCAAGGATGCTCTGCGTTGCCCCAGCAAACCTTGGTCTTCTGTGGCAGATGGGTGAATTCCTCCTAAATAAAGTGGCAGGCTGCCTCCCCGATCTTTTTTGCTTTTGAAGAATACCCATGGGGTTGAAGGGTGGCCCTGAGGAACTAGAATATTCAGTAGAAATGGGACTTGCTTAGCTTGATGTTCCTTCCTTGGCTCTTTTGCGAAAGGCAAGGTTTGCTGATCGTGCGCCTCTCCGGAGAATGTTGACAATTCATCTGTCCTTCTTTCTTTCTTTCTTTTTCTCTGGATCTACACTGCTCCGGCATTAATCATTGTTGGTTGCTATTTGGTTTAAAAGCCTTCCTGGCCTCCATAAATAGAGGCAAAGCCACTAAACAGGAAAGGCCGTTTATGGAGCAAATAGTGCTGCCTTAAAATGGTGCAAAGGAGGGGATGGGTTGTAATGCAGATTTTGAAGCAGATGTGGAAGAATCACGCCTTGGGGCTCAGGCCTGTTGGGGAAAAGAGTTTGCGTATTTCTAAAGATTTCCAGAGATGAACTGCATGGGCCGGTAACCACAACCAGTCTGGCCAGACTATTATTTGTCTCTGCACTTAAAAAAAACCCCAAAACCTGGGGAAAGGCCATTAAATCCATATAGTGGAATTCTCACTTGACTGTCTCTCCTGTGCAATAATTATATTAATTTTAGAGTACGTAAAAGAGAGCCAGTTTGGTGTCAGGGTTAAGTCATCAAGCTAGAAACCGGGAGGCCATGAGTTCTAATCCTGCCTTAGGCACGAAGCCAGCTAGGGGAACTTGGGCCAGTCCCTCTCTCTCCGCCCTAGGAAGAAGGCAAGGGCAAACCGCTTCCAAAACCTTGCCAAGAAAACCGTGAGGACTTGGCCAAGCAGTTGGCAGGAGTCAAGGCTGACTCGAAGGCGCCCACAAAATTAAAAAAGGATATAAATTATATTCCGCAAGTGATATATGAAGGTTTAACTCTGTTGCATTATATGGAAGGTATCTGTTCACCTTTTCATTTGCAGCCTGGCTTCGTGTGGCCTGTGGCGTCCTTCCTTGGGGTCTCGGTTATTTTAAGAACATCTGAAGAGCCTCCGGGCTGGATGAGGCCCTCAGGACGTCTAGGTCAGCCTTCTGTGTCCCAGTGACCAGGACTCAAGGATGACTCCTGTCTGTCTTATCAACCGGAGCAGTGTCAGCGGCCGGATGGTCCGGAAATTTACAGCTTGAGTTCTCCCCCAAATACGGGGCCGACGGGTTTGGGGTTGGTGAGCTGAAATCCCCCTTATTTGGGACGGACCTGTAACAGCTCCCCGCAGCCCAAACTTTTAAAGGTTCCCAGAGGCTTCCTATCAGTTCCTCCTTTGGGACACTCAAGGGGTTGGAAAACCACAAGCCTTTCTTTTCATCCTGCTCGGACTTGAGCCCAAAATTCTTGCGGGGGTGTGTGCGTGCGCACACATGGGTGTGTTAGACGTTTTTGTGCTTTTAAGTGCACTTCAGAACGTCTCCCTTGGATTTTTTGCTTTCCCAGGAGTTCCTCCGGCTGTAGGTAGCCTCCAGGAAAGTAGGTCATGCGCATTCAGTCAGACTTTAGGCTTTTAGCACTTTTCCTTCTCTTTTAGGGGCTTGAATCGGAAAAGCTGGCGCTGAAAGGGCATTTCCCAGGAGAGCTGCTGAGAACTCTGGCTTGTAGGATTCAAGCCTGTGAATTCAAAACCCCCCATGGAGTGATTGCTGGGGGGGGGATTTAACAAGGCCCCTGGGGTTGTGGCTGAGGTGTTAGCTCCGAAAAGGTGTCACCAGCAGCTGTTGCAACACATCAGGCTGAGCACCTCTTGGCAAGGCCAGAGGGTGTAACTTTCTTTTTTGATGCAAAGCCAGGACTTTTCACTTTGGAAGGGTGTGGAGGACGGACTGGAGGTGTTTGTGGTCTCTCTACTGCTGAATTCAGAATTTAACTGGGCAATTCTTCATACAATGCAAGAAAATCCCTCTGCGGAACGGGAGATATGAGCTCCTGGCTGCTGCTTCCCCTGAAAGCCAGTGCGGTTTATTATGTTGGCTTTGGCCACTTTAATTTTTAAGGTTGTGTTCCTCGTTGCATCACACAATCAGTCAAACATCTGATGCAAATCGTTCGGGTTCTCTGTCAACAGCCTTAATCTGAAGGCGTATCATCAGGTCCCCAGTCAATGTCCCCAGTCAATGCACCTCTAACTCAGCACAAGCATTTATCCGTAAATATTTTAGCAGCTCAGGGGACATGAGGCATCCTCGGCTTGCTCCCTGCTCAAAGCTGAACCATCTTCCAAGATCCAACTCAGGCTCCCTCAGGCTCCACTTCGGGGGTGGATTCTTCCGATGCCCAGCAGGGGCCGCTGTAAAACGGCGGTGCCCTTCTGCCCCCGTTGAGATCGGTTCTCCATGATTACCCAACGCTGGGCCGCTCTAGAGTTTGACGCTCCGGTAGCTAGGGGCGCCTCTATGGTAGGGCCGGCGTCCTCCCTTCCGCCCAAGACCGGAAGCGCCCGTTTCTATGCCGACGGCGTCGCGAAGGGCCCCTCTCTCTCCTTCCCCTGCCCGGGCTCCGCCTCTTCCTCCTCCTCCTCCTGCTCCTCCTCCTCCGCGCGGGGGTGCGCGCGCCGTCTGGGGCG